TACCAAAGGTTGCGATTGGTTTTCCATTTGCAGCCTGTAAGTTGAAGGTAGGTTCCTTCTGTCGATCTGCTGCTGTAGCAGGAAGGACGCTGACTTCGGCGCCTGTGTCGACTAAGTATCGAGTCTGGCTTATCACATCATGGATGTAAAGTAGGCGGCTAGTGCCACCGGCGACGGTTGCCGCTAACGCGTGCCGGCGGGATAGTTTCCCACAGACTTTGAGACATTTCCGAAGTTACAAGGCTTACGGCAACACTTCGCTTCTTGGCCATAGGTGTTGTGGTACCAGCACCAGTCAGGGTTTTTCAGTGAACGTGGTTTGGACTTAGATCGACCACGTGAGTTCCTGCGTTGAGGAGATTTAGGACGACGGTCGGAGGATTTAGAAGGCATGTTTGACCTAAACATCTGCTGGATGGAGTTGCATAACTCTATCATTGCAGGATCCTTACTCGAAGTCTGCTTAGTCATCGAGCATATTTCGGGAACAGACCGTTTAGTTATTTCTAGAATCCTATCTGCAGTAATAGCTAAGTCCTCTATTACAGTACCCTGAAGTGTCACAAGTACGGTCTGTACAGACTGTGGCAGCTTGGTTAAGAAGAGTTCTCTAAACAGTCCTTCGTCGAACTGACTTTGGCCGACGATTTCTTTCATTCTTGTCAGCATGCTCACGGCTGACTGATCTCCTAACTCGATGTTACGAAATAATTCATCTAGACGTTGTCGGTCCGTGAGAACGTTTCTCCTGAGGAGGGATGCTTTGAGCAACTCGTACGAGTTACTTACCTCGGGACTCAACATCTGTGATGTTACGTACTTGCTGAATTCCCGCGGTAGGGCGTGAATAACTGCAAGTAACTGTGAACGTTGATCGGTTATCCCATGCTCACAAAAATCTGCTTCAGCTAGCAGAAACCACGTTTCAGCATTATCTGGCCAGTATGGTACGAGCTGAATGGTTTTAGGAGTTGAGCGGATACGGATGACCTTGGGACTAAGATCACTCATGACGAAAATTATGTCGAATAATATATGGTACAAGAACAAATACAAAATGGAACGAACTCACCGGGGTTATCTGCGGATTTATCGTGGATGAAGTTCGCGGTTGGGCTCACCAGTTTAAGGGTTTGACGGAATTATCTTACACAACCTCTAAATTATTCTCGCGTACCAAAACAAAGCAAAAGCCAATAATTGATCGTCCAAACTTGTGATATATTTCGGAACCAAAACAAGCCGTTAGACGAACGCTTAGCTAGCTAGTGATCGTGCACGTGACACGACGGGGTACCAAATGGCGGGGATGCTTGACCGGAAGCCTTCAGCTAAACAAGTCGACTTAAACAGTGGTGGTCAGCATCCAATGAGTGATTGCTGTGGTCAATAATTTTGGGGAATTATTTACCGCTACACCTGTAATTAGCACTACTGTCTAAAAGAAAGATCTACATTATTACGACTGGAAAACGATCATATAACTGGTGACTCTAAACCATAGCAGCCCAAAACAAAACTACCTCAAAAGACCAATCAGATGCATCAGAAGTAAAAGTGCGTAATTAAAAATAAACGTCCATATATAAATAATGTAATGCTAAAAAGTGGTTACATAGGATGGTATTCCTGCGTATGTTTCAAGAAAATCTCCCAATTTCTCACAAAAGTCCACATAGTCCGGTTAAACCTATTTCTGTAAATAAACTCACGAATGTCGCCAATCCGCTCATTAGGTAGTTCCTTTTTGGGCTGCTGTAATTTAGAGTCACCATATCACTTCCCTTTCAGCGCCCATGATGTCCTCAAGTGTCTTCAATGTCTCAAACTTACTCAGTCCCTTGGTCCTGATGGTGTTCCTGCTGTTATCCTTAAGAAGTGCGCTGACATCTTGTGTTCCCATTAACTGACATTTTCAACGAATCGTTTTCCAAAAATATTGTACCTGATTCATGTAAAAATATCAAGATTGTCCCAGTGCCTGAATCAACAAGTGGACCTACTGTTAAGTTTAGACCCATTGCCATTACCTCGCCTTTTTTGAAAGTTTTGGAAAGACTTATTTTACTTAATCCTGAACCCCCTCTAAAGCCTTTCAATGATCCCAGCCAGTTTGCTTATAAGCATAATAGGTGTACCTTAGATACTGCTGTTGTCCTACATCATAGTATAGTCTCTAGTTTAGATAAAGGAGCTAAATACGTTCGCTGTGCCTTCCTTGATTACACATCTGCATTTGACTCTGTTCCAGGTCTCTCTTGCTAAGTAAGCTTGCTGCAACACAGGCTGAGAGCTGGACAAATAAGTGGTTGCATTCCTATTTTTCTGATAGAAACCAGTACACCGTCTACAATCGAAGGTCCTCCACTACCTCACTTTAGCTGGTGTTCCTCAAGGTGCTGTTCTTTCTCCCTTTCTGTTTTCGTTTTTCTTACATGACTTGCCTTATTTTGATGTAGCCACTTTTGTTAAGTATGCCGATGACCTCTCGGTTTCTATGCCTGTCAACTCTCAGTCAGATTGTTTCAAATTAAATAACTTTCTGTCGGAAATTTGTTAGCGGTCCTCTTCAAACGGACTTAAGCTTAATCCGGCTAAATGTCAGGTAGTCAATTTCAGTTTCAGACGTAAATGTGACCTACAACAACTAGTTAGCTCACATGGCCCCACTATCATTGACGGCACAGAGGTTGAAAATACATCTAATGTAAAATACCTTTGACTGAGTTTCTCCACCGATCTTTCCTGGTCCTCCCACATCTTGCTAGTTACTAGAAAGATGTTTCGCCTAACGTTCTACATTAGGAAATTTAGGCAGTCTGGCGCAAAGCTCTTTGCTTTCTCACTTTGTCAATTCTTGTATTCTACCCATCCCCCTTTACTGCTCCCCATTAATCTTTCCGGAAATACTTAAGAAAGACTTTGGTTTGCTGAGAAGGGCACTAAAAGCCGTTAGTTGGGCAAGTGGAATATCGTTAAACCAACTGGTTAATACTATTGTGGATAGACATATAATGTCATCGAAGAAACTAGCGAATACAATATTGTCAGACCTCGAGCATCCTCTCTATACTCAGCTGTCTCCTTGCATTTCATCTGGTAGAACTAGAAGCAGCTATAGGCGGCTATATGCTGGGACCACCAAATACAAAAACTCCACAATACCATATCTGGCACAGCTGTTATGTGATGAGAAATCCGTTAGGTATGACACGATAAACTTACTGAGGCACTCTAACAAATAGTCCCATTAGTTTTTGTTTTCCTTTCCTCGTTACTATTACACTGTTGTTCTCATCTTCTATTACACACCAATTTTATATTTCATATCCTGTGGTGCACTGTTTTAAATTTAAACGCAACGCTGTTGTTTTTATTTTTTTATTTATCCTTTTTTGGGTTGCTTTTGATTTTAAAATCTTATAAAATTTATGAGGTAATTTGATGCAATACATTGTAATGCATGCTGAAAATTCCATATATGTACTACAAATACTTTTTGGAATAAAGCTGTTATTATTATTGCTTGTTCAATGCTCACGATCCAGTCTTCAGTGTCATCAAGGTTTTTCTAGCTAGAGTTATGCTTGGTATTTCATGAGATCGCAGTATTAGTTACCAGTTACAAACCAGTTGCTCTACTTCCAGTGGTATCGAAGATATTGGAAAGTCTCATTGACGACCACATGATAAAATACTTCGATGGGACTAACCTTCTTCACGAAGCACAGCACAGTTTCAGGAGGGGAAGATCCTGCGTGACGAATCTTCTACTAGCCTGGAACGATTGGACACTATCCTGGGACAAAAAGGTACCAGCCCACGTGATCTTTCTCGACTTTGCGAAAGTATTCGACACAGTTCACCATGGTCTGCTCCTTCACAAAATAGGCAAGGCGGGAGTTTCTGGAGCACTTCTCGCATGGCTGAAAGATTACCTAGGTGAGAGAGAATTCTGCATCAAAGTCAACCGCATGCGATCATCCTGGCATACCTCGGCATCAGGGGTTCCTCAGCGCTCTATCCTAGGGCCGTTGATGTTTTTGATTTTTATCAATGACCTGCCCCCCCCCAACTAAACTGCTCTGCGCTTCTTTACGCTGACGACGTAAAGATTTGGAGAGCAATAAACTCATCGGAAGACTCAGATAGATTGCAGGCTGACCTGCAAACTCTGGGAAATTGGGCTTTGGCTAACGGAATGCCTTTCAATCTAAGGAAGTGCAAAGTAGTGCAGCTTCATTCCGGCAGGTCACAGAGTGTAAATTACACCCTTGGTGGCCAGAACTTGAGTTGTGTTCCATCAGAGCGTGATCTAGGTCTTATTCTAACAGAAAAGCTAGACACCAGTGGAAATTACTCGAGGGACGTCGCCAAAGCCTACGCAACATTACACTTTATGCACAGGCAGCTGGGAGCTCTCACTCCCTCATGAAGACTTAAGTCTTCATTGAATGACACTATGCCGAAAGATGCAGCTTCTACATGGAGTAAATGAGTGGTGTAAATGGCATTACCCTCTAACTATCCTATCTCCCTCATTACACCGACATTTTGATACATTCCATCTGAAACACTAATCATTGCAACCAATATGCTAAAAGTGTGTCGCAGTCCAATCACATGAGGCGGACACCAACATAACCAGCCAAAAAGTGGGAATTTCCCTCAATCTAGATAACATATAATACAATTTTATTAAAAATTATTGGCAAAAATTTTCAATCGGAGTTCAACAGTACGTGATAAATAAGTCCAGCCCCATGTGAGTGTTGTGAACTGTCCCTCAAGGTCGTCCGGTAGGGGGATAGGATAGAGGCACAAATCAGGGCAGCCTGTAGACGGCCGTAGGTCATTTGATCAGCTGATGGATATTGGCGTTATTTTTGGAAATGACGTCAAGGTTAAGTCATTTTTCGTTGTTTTACACACTTTTTTACATATATTCCAGCTAAAAGTTGATGAAATACGGCGTATTTAGCAGAAATAGGCAATGGTGGTGTCCTTATCCGGCCGTAGCTTACAGGCAGTTTGCAGTTTGTTGGAAAAACGTACTTTTCCGTTCAGAATACGTCGAATTACTTGAAGAAACATGTTATAATGATCTTTTCGTGAATACTTTTTGCATTTTAATGGATTCTGCATGGACATGATGAGGTGGGATAGCTCGTTTCGGTAATTACATCATTTACTTCCTTGTTTAATTTTCGTAATGCTTACAAGGCTGCTCCATATGTATTTCTTTAAGAAAAATCTACAGAAATACTTAGAAATTATATACGCAAAGTAATTCTTTTTTTATGGCATAAACTTGATGTTTGCAGGCAGATGCAATATGGATTTTAGATTATGAAGAGTGTTGACTTACATAATTATATACAATTCAAGTAATTATTTCGTCATATTAAACATATTCAATGGTTAGTTATTGTGTTAACACTGATAACAATGTCTATATCTGTATATATCTTATGTCCTTTTTCAGATAATATCTACTTTCGGGAATTTCATGGATTTCGTTGATAAAGAAAAAGATACCCGCATTGTTGTCGATTTCGTCTTACATGTTAATTCATTAATAAATGTATTCCTCGTTGTTCGTTTGCTTATTCTGCTTAATAATACTAATTTCTAGCTTTTGCGTAAGTTGTAAGGTACGGAGTTTATGACGTTAACTTAGAAATGCCAAGTAAAATAAGATATTCGGAGATGCTTATTGATAAAACGATAATGTGGCAACGTAATGAATTTACTTCGTCCACAGTTAAAAGAAAACATTGAGATTATAAGCGCTTAGAGTTATATATCGTCTTAGTAGGAACCTACTAACGGACTTTGGATTCATAGTCACTCAAGGTGAAAAGTAAATTTAGCTAATATAGTATGCTTGCGATTTCTACTTATTGTAATAAACGAAGACGGTAGTAATTGTAACTATATTAATCGACATGTGTAACTGAGTGCATCTACGGTTACTGTAATAATACTAAAAGAATGCCAAGGTTTCACGGAGACAGAGGCTAGTACGCTGACATCTATTCGTTGAACCGTTTCAACAACAATTTCCGCAAGTCAGAATGAAGATTTTTTTATGGGAAAATTTATTTACAGTTATCTTTAAAAATATGTACGTATATCAGTCCGAGGCTGACGATGTAGATGCCTGATCATCCAACTGTCCACCAGCTTCAAGCAGATAATTGTATACGTAAAGAAACGCACTTCTACATATCCGAGGATGCGTCTGTTTAAGGTTTCTCATTTGATATATGATTCCTTGTATGAGCATCTCCACGTCCAATTCCACCGCTGTTGTCGACTGAGATTGGATGAGAGTGTGGTTGTAATATCGTAACCACCTAGTACTATGTCTAAATACATCTTTTACAAAATAATTGCTGGCTTATACGAACTTACCCAGACGTGAATATAGATGACATTTGGTATGAACAAGATGACGGCATGGCAAAAGCATGTTTTTGTTTTGGAAACATGTGCAGCTGCAGTCATGTTTGTCCACAACGAAGTACCTTTCACCTTCTTCGAATATCACGTATGCTTCTGTGCTATCATTTACTTTCATTTCCGGATGCCTCCTGATGCTTTTGTAAAGTGAGTATGCCGCATAGCTTGTAAGCTGCCTCAAAATGCTGGAAAGGCCTTCGTCCACCTGAAAAATTTTCAAGTTGCAACTATTGGACTTACGTTAAAATTAATGTAGTAATGCAGGTTTCGATTTCCTTCAATAGCCTTTCTTCTCCATGACTCTATGGAACACTTCCATATCTCACGAATGCTCAATTCTATCGGAAAGCACTTGCTTAGGTGTGTCTTCAGGTGTTTATGGCAGCATTCAACTCTGTTATTCGTTTTGTTGCCAAGACTGACAACATCTTTCATATAACAGCCTGCCCACATATCACGACAACTCCATAAGTTGTTATTTATGTAAGATACGGCTGCAGGAAACTCCAACCCCATTAAATTCATTAACTCACTAAACCTAGAGAAGTGTTAACACAATCACTTAGTTACCTGCCGTTACTCGTTGTGTACACCATCTCTTTAAACATCTTTTTACAATTAGGATCACGGAACTTAAGGACGTTAGGTAAGTAGTAATGTCGCTTACTTTGTTATTGAAGGCCCGGATGACATGAAATGCACATAATATGATGGAGCAGGCAGGAAACTCATTACGAATTGCACGTTGCTCTGCAGCACTGTTGTCAATTACAAACGTGACAGTCTGCGATGTATCGCCCATAATATTCTTAAAGGACTGTAATACTGCTTCAACGTCAACAAGTCTTTCACGATGAGTTGTACTGTACATGACTGGACAACTTCTATTCATACCATCTGTAACAACCAGTTGATATAGAGGATGACTACAAGAGATTCGTTTAACATTAAAATATTACCCCTCCCTATTCGTATTGTAGGTTGAATCCATGCCCACAACCTCTGGAAATTTTTTATATAAACTTATCATTTCCCTGGTTGCGAAACTAAACTTTTCCACACGTCGTCGACTGTCCAGCACGCACCATACGGAACCTGTGTCACGAATTTCACCGATCAGTGTGTCAATGTCTCGCATTCCTGTAGAGACTGTTAACGCAAGATGATAACTTACTAGGGTAGACTTGTTCCCGGAAATTCCGATAATCATCGTAGGTCATCAGCTTTCCAAACTCAACATCAATCATATTTATAACTTGAGCAGGGGGGGCGTTTCTCTCTACAAGAGGTAATATTTTAGATTTTTCTTCTAAACTTAGTCTCCGAACTGTCGGCTCAACAGACAATAGCAGTTCTCTTGACAACGCATGGTTGTGTCGAGTATTGACAGGTTCGACCACTTTATATAGTCCGAATTCCAGCTTAAATCTGAAACTTGATGGACACCCTATGTACTTAGATCTTAAATATAAAGCTGAGGTACTTTACAGCACTCACTGTGATGTTCTCAGGTGCCTGCTTTCTGATCGTCGACGTCGACCAACATGACATGAAAATGAAACATACAAGTACTTGTAATCTGGATCAACCTCGTCATTTTCATCACGACGAACCCGGCAGTCACGTATTTTATACAAGCTGCCGGTTCGCTACAATTAATAATGACAAGCAGTTATTACAACTTGCATAAACCAATTACCTCTTGAAAACGACGTATACATTCTTCACACTCCTTCCAAGTCCTTAGAATTTGGTAGCGAACTAATTCATTAAATTCAGTGGTTAAATCAACTGATATTTCATTAGTTCCCTCTACCATGACTATATTCATTACCAATAATTACAAAGAACAATTAAGATCACCTTAAAAAGTAGAAACAAAACAAAACAGCCAACAATGTTTGCAAATACCGCCACTCAGTCTTGTTAGGTGATATCAAACAGACCAATCACAAGCTAGAAAATCAATTGTTTATCTCACTCGCGGGCACTCAAAATTACGGCCGTCTACAGGCTGCCAGCCTGTAGACGGCCGTAGGTCATTTGATCAGCTGATGGATATTGGCGTTATTTTTGAAAAAGACGTCAATGTTAGGTCATTTTTCGTTGTTTTACACACTTTTTTACATATATTCCAGCTTAAAGTTGATGAAATACAGTGTATTTAGCAGAAGTAGGCAATGGTGGTGTCCTTATCCGGCCGTAGCTTACAGGCAGTTTGAAGTTTGTTGGAAAAACGTACTTTTCCGTTCAGAATATGTCGAATTACTTGAAGAAACATGTTATAACGACCATTTCGTGAATTTTTTTGCATTTTAATGGATTACACATGGACATGATGAGGTGGGATAGCTCGTTTTGGTGATTATTTCATTTACTTTGTTGTGTACTATTCCTAATGCTGACAAGGCTGCTCCATATGTATTTCTTTAAGGAAAAATCTGCAGAAATACTTAGAAATGATATACGCATAGTATTTCCTTATTTTATGGCATAAACTTGACGTTTGCAGGCAGATGCAATATCGACTTTGTATAATTGAAAAATTTTTACTGACGTAATTATATACAATTCAATTATTTCGTCGTTTCAAACATATTTCATGGTTAGTTATTGTGTTTACACTAATAACAGTGTCTACATCTGTATAATTATTTTGTTCTTTTTCAGATGATATCTACTTTCGGGAATTTCATGGATTTGGGCGATAAAGAAAAAGATACCTGCACTGTTGTCGATTTTGTATTACATGTTAATTCATTAATAAATGTATTCCTTGTTATTCGTTTGTTTATTCTACTTGATAAGACCGAAAATTAGCCCTTGCGTAATATGTGAAGTGTAGAGTATATGAGGCTATCTTTGAAATACTAAGTAGGAGCAGATATTTGGAAAAGCCTATTGGTAAAACATTATGTCGTAGTCAAATAAAGTAAATATGCCTAAACCGTAGAAGAGCTCTTGCGATTATAAAGCGTTTCGAGTTATATATCGTCATAGCAGAATACGTAAACTGACTCGCGATTCATAGTCACAAAGTGAGAGTAAATCTACCTGAGATAGTTTGCTTGTGATTTCTGCATGTCACAATGCACCATAAGGAGAGACTATACCTATGCTGTTAGATGTATAACTCAGTGAAACTACGGTTATTGTAATAATTAAAAACAGAATGCCTAGGGTTCTCAGCCAAAGAACACGACACGTTGCTATCTGCTCATATGATCACGTAAACAAAAGTCTTCCAGACGCCGCATTTACTCCTAACAGTTTACCCCCAACTTCTAACTTAGCACGTGTTACTTATGTTACTGGAACACAATCGCATTACAACAGAAGGAAGACAGATTAATTGGAAAATTGTTTATTAAACAAAAATCAGATTTCAAATGTACACATAATTCAGATGAGTAGTCCTCTGTTACCGTCAGTAAGTTCCATCTGAGAACACGGCACATATATGTTTTTCCATAAGTCTGAAAAGGTTTAAGAAAAGCATAATTAACTTGGGTATTACATGTGTGATCTGAATAAAAAATTTCCTGATAAGCATTTAGAAGTAATCACTATACAAACAATATATATATAAGTAGCCCAATAGTTTTCACTAAACTTAAGGGACTTTGCAACCTATCGTTGGTCGATGTCCAGTAGGTCCATCGAAGCATCATGAAATGATAAAATTACCTAACAACAAGTTATGCAGTAGTTTTCAAAGATGTACAAATATTTTAGCAAAAATGACAACCACTTTATGACAAATAATAGGTCTTGACAGCAATAATAATGACAATCATGTTCATAGTGACTATGAAAACAAAAATAGATAGTATTATTGCAACGAATTCATCACTAACTTAGATAGACAACTAACAATAATACAATCATATCAAATAAATGTATCACTTAATCTTAAGAAGCATGTGTTTACTTACTTTCACTGTATTCTCTCAATACTGATGTGCTCAACCAGCTTATTCCAACTGAATTCAAGATTAATTCTGAAAGTGAGTGAAGATACAGCTTATGTCAAATAAAAACATGTAACTTACATGTATTACACTGCTTACTGAGACATCTGATACCTGCTTTCCGATCTTCGTGACAAGAACACAGTTTATCTAGGTTTACCTACATATACATGAGTATATGTGTATGCTGCATCAACCATGCCGTTTTTATCATGATTAGCCAGACCACTGTGTATATCATACTTATTTAAGGATCTCTGAAAATAATGGTCAAGCGATAATTGAAGTTGCGTGAAGTTATTACCTCTTCAGAACATTGTTTGCATTCTTCACATCCCTAAGAAGTCCTTAGATGTTAATTTGGCATGAATTCGTTGAATTCAGCAAATAAATCCACTGGTATATCATTTCTCTCCTGAGCTGTAATAGTTTGTGTTGTCAGTTATCTCTCAAATTTGATAAAACGATCCCGGAAATTCAGAACTTAACCAAGCAGCAAAATGATGTTTGAAATTACCTCAACTAGAATGACAAACTGGCCAATCACGAGCGAGCGAATCGCTTGTTTATCTCATTCGCGGTCACTCAAAATTACGGCCGTCTACAGGCTGCCCTACAGGCTGCCACAAATCAGCTGATATCTGCAGTTTTAAGGCGTTATCGTGGCGTTGTGTTTGGGCTATTCTACGTTGTTTTTAGTGGTTTTTTTCGACAGAAATGGACTTTAAAAATCGCATTTTAACGAGAAAACGTGTAAAAAGTGAGAAAAGTTCTTTTTCAATGTGTTTACAAAATGCTCTCTTTTTATGGAATTGACATACTGAGGTGCATAAGAAATGTCAGAATTTGTTGGAAAATGTCAATTATGATATAAAATGCAAAATAACTCGAGTTGTTTCAGTGTATTTTACGTAAATGTTAAGGAAAGAGTTAAATATCTAGGTAATTATGATTTCATTATGTTTACAAAATTTCACAGTAATAAAGGAAACTGAGTTGGCAATTTCGTCAGATAACGGTGAATAAACACTCATTTAACTGGTAGGTACTGTGTTTCAAGTTATTTATTTAGCCCATCACTTCCTGACTGAATTTTTGTCATTTTTAATTCCAGGTTATGGTCTCCAATTCCACAATCACTCAATACATTTAGACATTCCAGTGGGGTTAAAAAGGATGATATTTGTGTAATTGACGAAATATTTGTGATATTATGAATGTATTTGTCGAAATAAATATTGTTTTAAAAATTTTGCACCTTATTCGTACATTAATAATACTTACTGTTTATCAAGTTGCAAAGTGATGCTAGTGTAGAAGACATAATATTGGTAAAGTGCCATATTTACACCTGGTTGAATTTAGACACGATGGGGGTACTGTTATGGCTTACGCTAGTAAACCTTAAACAGGCGATATGCACAACAAAAGCCTATCTAATGCGTTACAGTATTTTATGATAACAAAGTAATCAATCAAATTTAGTGACGTAACCAGCTAATGCACGAGTCTGAGTGTTAATGTGATCATGTAAGAGCAAATTGATACGAAATGATAGCACAAGAAGAGCAATGTAGTTATCTCTTTATTACGCAATGATTTCCTTTGAGGTAGTGGTGTTAAACGCAAAATAAGAATAGCAGACTATTTGTGATAAATAGGAAATACGTTGCATAGTGCGCATGAAGTGCCTACACTACCACTACAAGTTATGTACGTATAGAACCTATATTTGCTAGGTTTGTAGGGGACTAATATTAGAGTTCACTAACTTTCCAAGTATAAAAGTAATAATCCAAGTCAGTGGAGTGTTAAATCACAATATATTACCAAAAATACAGTGACGAGTTATAGCAACAAAAAGGATTACTTGCATATAACGTCTAAGTCCTCGGCTACAAATTAATTATATAATCCACGGGCACGTTAATTGTTTGGACTGCGCCTGCTGTAGCTGCTGTGTTCCGGTTGTAGAAATGTCTTCGGTTGAGAGTAGTAGGCTCCTACAATAAATCCGAAGTATACAACACGGTGTGAGTGGAGCAAGTAAGCAGAAGTGACCAGGGAGAAGACGAAGTCTCCAACAGCAGAGTGTATTTTTCAATTGTACACGGAAGTTATGTATATTTCAACAAGAAGCGTTTTAAACAAAAATTATGTACAATATCTCGAATTTATACAAGTAACCAAAAAGTGTACAATCACATTATTACGTACTCAACATGGCTCCCCCCTAGAGGTCCGGAGAGACAACCGGAAAATGATAAGTAAAACTATGAAGTAAATAATAATAGTAATAGCAACTTTTGGATAAAAATAGGGATATATTACAACATGCATAAACGCGAGAAGGTATGTGAATCATGTAAAGTCTGAAAGCATATACAATGAGTTCAGCAATAAAAATTGAAATAGAAAGTCATGTCATTTAAATTTGCACTAACCGTGAACATAGATTTTTAATGTATAAAGAAAAATATGTAAATAGACAGTATTTAAGGAGGGGAAAGAAACATTCAAAAAAAATATGGATTAAAGATCAATAGTTTTTGGAAAGGACACTACCTGTTTTTTCGGTGAGGTACATATAAATAAATAATAGTGATAGTAACATCAAAGTTTACGACGAAATACTAACCGTCATGATGATAATGTCTAAACGAAAAAGATAATAATAATTTTCAATTATTTTTCTTTTGTTAGTCCTCAAAATGAACGTAGCGAGCCGGTTTACTGATTTGCCGACCACTACGTGTGTGATATGGAGGGAGGATAAGACTTGGTGCCGGTGGAGGGGATTCGGATGTTTGATTATTTGATTGCGCAGCTGCCGATGTAGATTCGAAGTCGTTGTCGGTGTATGCGGGTTTGATTCGATCAATTGAAACAGTCTCTCGTCTTCCATTCTTGTTCACTGTAAAGTGTTTGTCTGAACGTTTAATAACATGAAAGGGTCCTTCGTATGGAGGTTGCAATCCTTTTCTGATGGCGTCGACTCGAATGAAGACGAATTTGCAAGTTTGTAGATGTTTGTTGATCTGATCTCTTCGGGGAGATTGTCGAGGTGCTGTTGGTTGAAGTTGAAGCATTTGTCTAGTTAATCGGTTAGTGAAGTCGGCAATGTTCACGTCTGTGGAATCGGCTGAGGGGACTAGCTGTCCAGGCAAGGTTAGGTTGGTGCCATAGACAAGTTGAGTCGGTGTACATCCTAAATCTTCTTTGACAGTAGAACGGATACCAAGTAAAATCAAAGGTAAGTATTCACTCCACTTAGATGTATCATTCTGCGCCATCAGGGAGCTTTTCAGTTGTCTGTGGAATCTTTCCACTAGACCATTCGCTGCCGGATGATAGGCTGTTGTGGAGATATGTTTCACTCCCAGAAGTCTCGTCAGTTCGCGAAAGAGTGTCGATTGGAATTGAGGACCGCGGTCGGATGTAATAGTAGTTGGTACACCGTAGTTTGACACCCAACGGTCGAGAAAAACTAAAGCAACGTTTTCAGCAGATATGTCGTTTAAGGGGCATGCAATAGACCAACGAGTAAATCTATCAATCGCTGTCAGGATATGTGTATATCCCCTTGATGTTGGCAATGGTCCCACGATATCTATATGGATATGCTGAAATCTCCTTTCGGGTAATTCAAACGTCTTCGGGGTTGTAATAGTGTGGCGGTGTACTTTGGAGCATTGGCATTAGATACATTCTCGTGCCCATCTCCGAATGTCAGAGTTCATTTTAGGCCAAACGGAGCGTTCGCTGATCAGTCTGACCGTG